TATTCAGCATCTCTTATGATGTTTAGGCATTTGACAACTGTATTGCATATGCAGCTATACTGAAATCCTACCACCATCCAGAACAATGCATAAACTCATGGTTCAATGGACCTAAACAGGCTCTGACCCAACCCAGACTTCTTCAGTTCTGTAATATTTCTGATAAGGTGGTCTCAGAATCACCCACCTGAATGTTTAGAGCAAGACAGCACAAATCAATGGGAAAAGTTACCTGTCTAAATAGGTTGGGGAAGTCATCTGCATTGTTAACTTTCCTAATTCCTTTTCCTCCTCCTCCTTCAGAAGCCTTGATCATCACAGGGTAACCAACTTCCTCAGCAGCCTGATCAAGATGAGCAGAAAAATGTGGTTAAGTACAAAATGGTAGCAGAATCAAACTGAAAAGATCATTATTCCCCTGTTGATCCAAGCTTCCATGTCTGACTATTTAGCAACCAGAGCATGAAAGCAATGTAACCCAATATTCCAGTTTGAGGGTGCCTGTAGTTGGAAAAATCAGCAGTGATTTTGTGACTACAGAGAACTCTAGCCTCTCAAAGTGATCCCAAAATATCTTGGCAGTGCTTCACATTAAATTTACAAACTCACAGAAAAGCTTTTGTATACAGAACATCATTAAGCAGAGTAACATGGAAAAATCATGCACTTCATTCCCTCTCTTCCCAAAGGAAAATGCCCAAATATTGCACTGATCCAGGAATATTTCTTATCCTAGAAGTCTGCCTCAAAGAGAAATTTCACAGAAGATGAAATCAAGTGTGAGGTCTTGGGTCTTTTACTCAGACCACCTTCCTCCTGCATTAAACAAAAACCAGAAGAGAGTCCTTACTGAAATACAACTTCAGTCCCATATTCTCCTAATTCTCACCCAATTCTGCCAGCTGGGTGCAAAGATGAGGCGTGAAACCATCCAATTTCCAAGAATCAGTTCTGTGAGCCTAGCTCTATTTTGTATGCCTACTAAAAATAAATTAAACCTCTAGCTCTCTGCAGCAAGACCTCAAACACCTCCAGAAGAGCAGCCACCCACCCGCAGTCCATCGTCCGCGTCCTTCACGTAGCCCTTCTCATACAGCTCCTGAGGAACGTTCAGGATTCGCTTCTGAAGATCATTCTCCTGCCAGTCCACTCGAAGACCTGAAACACAAGCATTATCTTCTTAGCTCATTCTGCTGCAAGGCTCAGTGAGAACCCCCACGTCAGACACTGGTGAAACAAACAGCAGTCAGAGTTCCCCAGGGAATGAGTCTGGAAGCATTTAGAAAAGAGAGAATGCAGAATATAAACAGACTTCTCTGTTTTGTGAGATGCAGATCTTTTCACCCAACAAATTACATCCTCCTTCATTTAGCTTGTGCAGTTCTGAGAATTGGGTGGTTATTTACAGTCTTTTGAAAGTGCACAGAGCATCCAGGGGGTAGAGTACTGTCTGAGTGCTCCAAAACTACCCACTACACACTAGAAGAGACTGCAGAAATAGCAGATATTCCAGCTCTGCTGTCAGACTAAGGGCACGTTACACAACAGGGACATTCTGCCCAACATGTCCATATATATCACAGTCACTACGTGTAGGCCTCAGGTTATACAAATATGAAACCCTAAACAGATGGAACATCTCTTGGGACAAACACCCTTTTGTGCACAGACACTTTGTAAAGATCAGATGTGCTGAATGAAAGAAGATTAGAATGATCTTGATAAACACAAGGCAATTTCCTTCTTACCACTGCCACTCCATGGGAGAGTTGGAATGCCAGCAGTCTGAGCCACTATTGAAGAAGCAATTTTATCTCCTAAGGCCCACATAGCTTGGCTTGGAGGACCTGCAAGGAGCAAAACCAATGCATGAGAGAGACACAAGAGGTATCAGACTTCAGGGAAACATCCAGAAGACCAATTTGAGTTTCATGTAAGAGGGGGTAAACAAACACTCTTAGGAGGGCTGCTGCATGTCACATCTCAACTGATACCCATCAGTATTACTCAACCAAAACATCCCAACTGGTACAAATCAATATTTCTCAACCAAAACATTAGCTGCATCAGCCAGGAAACAAAAAGCAAACAGACTAGAGCACTTTTCACCAAGAAGGAGGCAAAGGCAATTGACACTACAGCAATGCAACCACAAACCCATCACAGCACCTTGCTAAGTGCCTGTGCTGTTCAAGAGGTCTCAGCACGCCCAGCTTGCAAGCACCACTCTGTCCATGTGTCCTCAGGCTGGGCCTGCTCTCCAAGGGACAGCAGGTACCAGCTCCTGGTACTAGGTGTGCATATCACATGCTAATCCAAAACATCCCAACTGGTACAAATCAATATTTCTCAACCAAAACATTAGCTGCATCAGCCAGGAAACAAAAAGCAAACAGACTAGAGCACTTTTCACCAAGAAGGAGGCAAAGGCAATTGACACTACAGCAATGCAACCACAAACCCATCACAGCACCTTGCTAAGTGCCTGTGCTGTTCAAGAGGTCTCAGCACGCCCAGCTTGCAAGCACCACTCTGTCCACGTGTCCTCAGGCTGGGCCTGCTCTGGTACCAGCTACTGGTACCTCATCATGCTAATGGAATGATAGTGCAGTGCCCTGATTTTACTTGAAATGTGGTTTGCATGGGACTGTGATGTATAATTGGTAACAGATTTAAACTGAAATTAAAATACAGCTCTTAAATCCACTCCTTCTCAAAGGTCCAAAGTGTTTCTGCAGTTATGGCTCAACACACTACAGGTAAAAAGGTCTCCTAGAAGTCATGACATGGTACAACTATCCCCAGGCTATGTTCAGACTTCTATCCCAAGTCCATCTTCAGTTTTAAACACTGCACATGTCCAAAATTTTATCCAATGTTCCAATCCTTCTGTTCAGAAGGTGAGTTTTACTGCATCAAACACCTCCTGCACTCAGCTAACTGCACTGCAAACAAGATCACAAGCTTCATGGAGAGTCCACATAAAACTCCACTCCTTCCATAAAACCCAACTACAAGCACCTTTTTTAAAATGTCAACAGGGCCATTCAGCTGCTTTTGTATCTCACAATACTCAAAGATGTGTTGGAGAACTTGCCACTTTTCTCATACAAGAGCTACTTCCCAGCATACATCCAACCCTTACCTATTTTCATTAGCCTTGATGGCTGGGAACAGACTGTGCTGTCAGACAGCAGAGTCTGTTGCTCTGACTACTGTAAAGAATTTATCATCAGTCTTGCACTTGTAAACTCTCTTAGACCCAGGATTTTGTGTCTCACTAAACCTATCCATCTTGAACTAAGAACTAGACACTATGTCAGAAGTATAGGTCCTCACCCATGAAAGCAATCCCATTTTTGTGGAGGAGTTCTGGTAGTTTAGGGTTCTCAGATGCATGGCCCCACCCAGCCCATACAGCCTGCAGAAGGAAAAAAAAACAAAACACAATTCACACTTTGTTTTAGCAAAACAAGAAAGTGAGCAGAAACAGAAAGCATGCAGATACTTCAAGTCTTTCTTTTCCTCACTGAAAACAGCCTTGTAACACTCCTAAGCCAGACCAGCCTCCTGAACTACATGGCATGTTTAGTTTAAAGGGCTAGTGTCCTATAGACAAGTCAAAGGTGGTTGCCACAGCAAGCTGTTGAAGAAGAACTAAGTATAGGGAAGTGAAAGGGTGAAGGGAACCTCCTACCTCCTGACACTGTTCACACTGGGAGGTGCACTGCACTGTAACATGCCTTGCCTTTTGGTGCTAGTAGAAGTTGGTCATTTCCATTTCTTTGACCCATCTTCTCCTCCAGACACAGCTCATTATTTAAAGAAAGAAGATTGCTTGGTGCTACCTCCTATTTTCCAAACTCTTTGACACTCCTCACCTGCACTGGAATTCGCTTAGCAATGTCAAGAATGAGCTCCACGTTTGCATAGTTGTTGTTGTTTGGTCCTCCTGGAACAGGGACGTAGTGATCTGCCATTTTTATATACTCTGCAAACACAAAGAAGGCCTCCCTTAGATTGAGAAACTAATAATCAACACTTGGTCTAAAACCCCCTAAATCTACAGAACTTCATCTCCTCCCAGAAGAATCTGGTACTTGACACAACGGTACGTGGCGTGGTGGACATGCATTCAACCTCCTGTATCCTTGTGAGCACAGAGGCCTGTGCAAGGAGGATGTTGTGCAGCTTCAGCAGCCTTTACAACTCACCTGCATTTGCCTTCAGATCCTCAGGAGTCACCATGACAACAAATCTGATTGCCCGCTCGTTTCGGAACATCTCATAGGACCAGCGCCGGATGGACCTCATGCACTTCACTGCTGCAATGCCATTATTTGCTATCAGGACCTGGGTGCATGAGAAGCAGGGATGAAATGCAGACTACACAGCACAAAACACTAAACAATAACCAAAACAGTTTTTCCTCTGCTGGCTCTTTGCTCAGTTTTGGGGCCGTGTGGTTTCGTTAGGCAGCATTCAATTCAGCCACAATGTTTAAGGGCCCATCAGTCAATTCAGAAATCAGCTCTTGCTCAGCCATGAAGATTTTAATGTATTATGCTTTGAGCAGAAGGACCCATAAGAATTGGCATAACAAGCAGCCAAAACTTTTGATACCTGAAAGGCAGAGACCTCATCCATTAAATGATTATGTTTTTTTAAATAAATTTCTTAGTGGTACTTTTCCTGGCTCCTTCTGTTGCATCTCTCCATAAATCCTTCTGTATCAGCAGAAGTGCTCTAGCTCAATCAGGTTTTTTTCCCTGTCACACTAAGCTAAAACAATGGGATGTTTATTTATCACATATAAAATAAAAGGGAAACAATTATTACAGGCAGAAGTACAACTTTCAAGCTCAGGAATGTTAACATATCTGCAACGTGCAGTCTTATACAGAGGGAAGTCATAGGGAACAAAATGCACTATGCTAAAGTGAAAAAGGCCAATAACTTACCTTTTCAATAACTTTATTCCCTCCAAAACGAGTAACAAATTCTGCTGGAGAAGCCACAGTGAAATCCCTCTGCACATCCACCTTCTTCCTGTCCCGGCCTTGCTTTACAAGGTGTAAGCCAGACATACTGGGCCTGAGGCAAGTTGTGGGAGACAGAAAAAGGCAACTTGGCAGTGCAGATGTACACAGACAGAAGAGGATATGTGAATAATTTTTGAAGTTCCCCTTGACTGTATTGCCCAAGCAGCCAAGCAGAATCACTCCTTGTCTCCTGAACACCATGGCCTGGTCCTCAGCTTTTACAGGGATGACTGGTTTTAAACTACCTTCAGTTATCTCTCTGCAAATGCCAAGTTACCTGGAGAAGTTCTGGATATGTTAATATATAAACAGGTTAAAATATGTTCACTGTATGTTGCTGCCCAACACAGAACAATGCTCCACCACACTGTTTTAAATTCAGAGAGAAAAGCTGGAAGTGACAACAACATTTCTGGCTTGGATAAAACAAGCTACTAAGATCAGACTCCATAGGAAAATCCTGCTGGGGAACCACAGCAAACAGATCTCTGGCTGCAAATGAGCCTCTCTCACTGGCTACTTCAAATCATTTTCCAAGACCTTTCCACCATCCAGTGTTTAATATCTTCCTCAAAAGCTCTGGAGCTAGAGGAGAGTTTAACCCTGTTGTTTCCACTACAAGCAGTGGAAGCCAGTTCTGTGTCTGACAGGACCAGCTCTGGGCCATGCCACCATCCTTGGTGGGAATGGGGCAGTCACTTCCAAACACATGGACACACAGACAAATCACCCTTGGCTCTTGCAGGCACTACAGGATTGGATTTGCTAGAATCTACAAGTGCCCTTGGAGCGCTGTGTCACAGAGCCTGTTCTCCAGCATGGGAGACCCACCTCTGGCCTACTCAGCTGCTGAAGTGCTGCTGCCATTGAGCAACTCCACTGGGACATGGCATGGGATGAGGCAGAAGGCAACTGGAACTGCTGGGGGAGGGCACAGAGGGAAAACCAGCCCCAGGCCAAGCCAAGCCACAGGCAGCACCCAGAGGTCTCCTTCTGGAGACACCCAGGTCGGGCAGCCCGAGAGCTGTCCCTGCAAGGTTCACTGTCCCTGCAAGGTTCACTGTCCCTGCAAGGTTCACTGTCCCTGCAAGGCTCACTGCCCACAGGGGTTTGGAGCATCCTGGACTGAATGAGTTAGAGGTGCTTGCTGACAGCCCAGGAGGAAACGCACAGATTCTCCCTCACATTCCCTCAGAAATACTTATGGCCTATGAATATTTATCCTTCTGGAATGCAGATCCTCCTTAACTCCTCATCAGGAGCACAATAACACCACAGACCAGTATTCTGACAAAAAAATTTGCTGATGAAAAGAGCCATGACCAAACGGTAGCTAGTATCCAGTTTAAATCCAGATCCTTCTCTTCCCCACCTTTCCTGTGAATGCCCATGATGCTAGTGCAGCCTGCACTGTGTTTGCAGGACATGTTAACAAAAAGGATCAGGACCCTTACCCTCTAGCACAACCTGTTCCAAAAGGTATAGGCCAAATCCTGGTAAAACCAACAACGAAGGGTACTAGAAGAAAAGGCAGCCTCCCAGGTAAGGCAAGATCCATGCCCAGAGCTGACCACAACACCCCATTTATCTACCACACACACAACGGAGCAGATCCTTACCCTTCCTCTGCCTTCATGCACACCATCTACTTAGGCTTTGACATCCTACTGTGGCACATCCCTGGGGATTTCCACAACAGCAAGGAAGTGCATTTACTGCACTTGAAAATTAAGACCCAAGTTCTGTGTAAAGAAATTAATTGTTCTCTCCCACACGTGAGATATTCCAGTGACAAATGGCCATGCTGGTGGAGAACAAGTCATAGTCTTGGAAACACTGAGCTTCACTGGGAAGTGAAAACATGTTCTAAGCACAGGAAAAGAGACTCTGAAGCTGTCCCAGAAGACAAAAGTGGGAGAAGTAAAGGTAACAGGGAAAACAAGATCAACAAGGTCATTTTAATGCATGTTAAAAAACCAGGTCTCTATCTCCCTGGGATATTTTGGGACATACAAACATCTGTTCTAGGTCAGAGCAAAGTACACCCAGTAACTTGTCTCAAAGAATAGCTGCTAGCTGATATTCAGAGAAGGGCATAAAAACAAGTTAAATGTGCAGAGGTTCCTCATCTCTGTACTTTCCCTTCTTGCAGTAAACTGCACTTTCAGAGATAGACATTTGTCACTAAACTTAAAACTTGTCCCCATGAGCAAGAGTTCACAAACTGCTCCGTGATAAACTCAGACCAGCAATTCAAGGACAGGAGCCAACAGGCAGGAAAAAGAGGAAAGGTGTAGTTTTAAGGCTGAATTTCTACCAAATCTTTGTATTTAAAGAGGGTCAGAGTCTACAGCATGCCAAGGAAGGAGCACAGTGCATCAAGTGAGACAGGTTTACTCATTGAGGATTTAGTGACAGCAGTCTCTGAAAACCAGAAAAAAAATAATCTCAGGGTCAGGATCTGTGCATATGTATGAATATGAACTGTCCTGACAGGATGAAATTATTACACACATAAAGATAGTGCTACAGATAAAATGTCAACAAGCCTGAGGTTCATCATCCAGAATAACACTTTTTTATAAACAAGCAGAGTTCAGTTTTATTTGTGGCCAGTAAGGATACCAAGAACATTAAGTTTATTTACTAATAACCACCGGCTGCACATTGTAATAAAAACAGGAGAGATGGTAACATAAGGAAGAAGTCAGGCAGCAAGAAAGAGAGAACCCCCAGCTCTAAGCCAAACAGAATCAACGCCGAGTTGGTCACAGCAGGACTCACCAGGTCACAACTGCAATGCTTGGTTACACAGGAACTTCCAAAACACTCCTCTATCCTTCAGCCTTCACAGAGGTTAGAGCCTGTGCAGAATCTCAAACTTCTTTAACACTGATTCCCCAACTAGGACGTATTCTAGCATCTTTCTAACAGACTGCACACCCAGACACCTCACAGTAACTGGGGAGGTTTCAGAGGATAAAATGAACACAGGAAAATATCAGTCTGTGTTTCCAGCAGAGAGCACCCCACAGCCTGAGCCCAGACGGCTGCTGGCAGAGACAAGCACAGCTCTGATTCTTACCTTTGCAGCATGTGATATCTCATTTCCTGACTCTGCTCTGCAGAATCCTCCATGCTGTCTCAGTGAAGGAATTAACAGATTTCGGGCTTGCTTATGACTCGTCTAGTGTAGCTGCTGCTATTATTATTTTTTTTTCAATCCTGCAGCTCAAACCCCAGCAGGAGAAAGCTGCAAAGAGCCTCTGGCACTCATGCGGTTCTCCTTGAAGCAGTTGCACTTCTCAGATTGCTTCAATCTTTTAACCTTTGTCCCTTGCTTTCCACCACCCCTCTCTCAGTCACTCTTCCTGTGACGCAGCATGCACAGAGAGGGGAGCAGCTTCCCTCTTCTGCATTCAGAGGAAAGCAGCTGATCAGGAAAGAGAGAAAACGAGCTACAGGTTACGTAAGGAGGCTTAGCGCAGCGCCCGCCCGCCGGCAGCATCCCCGCAGCCCTGCAGGGCCAGCCTGCCCCACGGCCCAGCCCCACGGCTCTCACGGCCCACTGCGGGAGGGGTGGGGAGGTGACAAGCAAAGCACTGGCACGGCTGCAGAGCAGAGCCAGGGGCACAGCTCGGACAGGCACACAGAGCACACTGCTGACCCGGACGCGGGACGACAGATCACGCTGCACGCCAGCTGGGAGACCCTGGACAAGACCCTGAATTCTTCTGTGGCTCCGTTTCTCAGCGTTTGACATGGAGATGTGATCCCTCCCAGTGCTGTAAGAATGAATACCCTCACAAGCTGCAGAGCCCACTGACGTCACTGGAGAAAGGAAAACTGTTTACTCAGAACCGAGCACATGCAAAAACATAAAACTGCCAATTGGAGGCTAGGGAAGGGATAAGTGAGAGCAGTGACTGCAGCAATACACTGATGGTCAGCTCTGGACTGGAAAGAGACACAGCAGCTGGATGATGCTTCTAAATCTCACAGAATTTGGGTCTGTCTTGGTGTAGGGCCACTTCCAGGTGGCACAGCTTTTATTTGATGCACACACACTCCAAGGGTCTGAGCAAAATCCCTGCAGTCCCCCAGGAGGGGCTCACTCAAAAATGCAGCAAGTACCCAGAGGGGAGACGTGCCATTAACATGCTGAGGTTATGCACCCTTAAGCCCTGAAGGGCAAGATGAGGGCACCAAGAATAGGACAGGCGATGTGAGCAATGACCAGCAGCCAGTGGCATGTGGCTGATAAAGTGCAGACAAACAATTGGGCAGGGATCCATTTCCTGGGGCCGTGTCAGCGGGTGGCAAAGGGACAGCGACACGCTGTGGCAGCAAGGGTGGCACTGGCAGTGGGTGGGAACAATGCTCTGCCCCAAGCAGCAGAGACAAGAGGTACCAGGGCAAGAGAAGAGTTGAAACAAACACACAAAAATCCCAACATTGTCTATCCACCTAGTAACCAAATGCCTCTCTCAGCTGTCAGCCTTTGAAGAACTCCTCAAAATGCCCAGCTAGGAAGTACTCCAGGAATTTCCCATTAATTCATTTTAAAACAGAAATACAGAAGAAAAAGCAACTAGTCTTGAAATCATTTCCCTCACTGGCTCCATCCCGAGGCCTGGGCTGCACCTCTTCCCTGGGAACACTCTGGAGTGCACTGAGGCTCCCTGCCTCCCACAGCCCAGCACACAGGACTCTGGCCATGGAACTCTCACCCAGGTTCTCCAGGCTCCTGCTCCCCTTCACCTCAGCAGGGAGGTCGCCACAAACCCCCCAGTTCACCATTTCCAATCAAGCTGTCACAAGGGTAGAGAGTCAGGAACCTACAGACCCTGCTTGATAAAATCTGTCACTTGTGGTTGTCACAACATAAGACCAGCAAAACCCAGCAGACATTCAGAGACTCTACTGGATAAGTATTTCACGTGGAAAACAGTCTACTCCATCATTCTTAAAATAAAATACTTGCATGATCTGTGGTTCCATGAGATTTCCTCAGGTTCTGATCCTGATTTGAGATTAAAATTTATACACAGTATAACTGAAATTTTATTTTTCAAGTTTTCTGAAAATGGTTTCTGAAGTATTTGCCTGTGCTCCAAAAAAACCCACCCGCAGTCCCCAGGCCAAACAGCTTCTGACCACTGCAGCTGCAAGGAAACAAATCCTACATGTACACACGGCTTGATGTGAGAGGAGCAGCTTCAGCATTGGTTAAAAACATTCATCGTGCCTTCTGCCAGCTGAATTCACTGCTGTGAAACGAGGGGCAGGATTTGCTGCAGCATCCCTACAGAAACCTTCCACGGAGGGATGTCGTTCTGACCCAACGTTTGCCACCCTGCACAGCTCACCCTGCACAGCTCACCCTGCACAGCTCTCCCTGCACAGCTCACTGCCTCAGCACGCTCAGAACCCACATGGCAACGCCACACGGAACCACCCCCTTCTTCAGACCCCGGGCTGCTGTGAGACAAAAGGGAAGCCTGAACAGTCTCCTCTGCTCAGCCTGCAGGACAAAAGCAGCGAGGAAAGGCACGTACCTGACGCAGAGCACAGCCAGGAGCCCTCGTGGATCCCAGCACAGTGCCATGCCCAGCACGGTGCCATGCCCAGCGCTGACGTAGCGGGGCCCTCCAACGGCAGGGAAGCATCGGGCGGGCAGCCTGGAGCAGACTGCAGCACACACACACACACACCCCCAGAGAAGGGATTGTTTCTTTTCCCCCTCTGGATTAAGCCTGGAAAGGGCAGGGAGAGAGGGCAGCTTGCCCCACCGATCTGGGCTTTGTGTCTGGTAAAGATCTAAGCGCTGATGTGAACGTGAATCTCATCTGGGTGGGAAGACTCAAGCCCGTGGAAGCACCCGTAAGATCTGCTCCAGTTTTAGATCTGGGCTTGCAACCTGTTTCACAAAAATGCAGAGAGAAGGAGCAAGCATGTGCCTAGTCCAGCAAGCCACGCCGAGTTCTGCAGCTGGACTAAAGGGCTCACCATGGCTCGGGTAATAGGCACTGGGAGGCAGCAACCCAGACTTGCTCACAGACAGCTTTTCCCTCTGATTTTAAAGAGACAGAACAGTTGGCTTGAATGCAGACACTGCCAGAAATCAGTGCTACAACCTCCCCAGCCCGGCCAATGAAACTCGACTCTGCTCTGACAAAGGATTGAGCCTCTGTGCTTCAGGAAATTAAATAAAGGATGCAGCACGAACCCCAAAGCCAGCCCTCTCCCCAACCCCCCTACACAACTCCACTCCCACGCTGACACAGACTGTGACCAGCCACCGAGGCAAGTCTTCAGCCCAAATCTATAACTTTGGTTCCAGCCCTAGAGAGCCCAGACTGGCACAAGCTGCTCGGATTCCTCTCAAATAACCAAGTACCAACACCTGCAATGGATGCAGATTTTAAGGGCTGAGACACTTCTTTGTCAGGTATTTCCCTCCTTTTCTTAAACCACATATCTGGTGTTTTATCTGCCACACCATATGCATTTTAAACTGGACCCTACCCACAGATGCAGACACCAAATCACTGGTGCTCCTTCCAAGTTCCAAAGCAAGGTCACAGCTGATATTATGGGAGGGAAACTGAGGCTCACTGAGCACCAGAGCCCTCTGAGCTCCTCTGGATTGCACACTTTCATGTACTATGATCAAACCCACTTCACTCCTGAGGCTCTCCAACACAGCCCATTCCCTCTGCACTTCTCAGGTACTCTGCACTCAGCTTCCTTCTCTTTCAGATCTTTCCTCAGCACCTTCCTTCTCTTTCAGATTTATCTTTCAGACCCCACTTCTTCACCACATCCTTTCTGCTTAGACCCACAGCACCAAATTTTCACACCTCAAAACCACCCAGTAAATCCAAACATCAACCCAACTAAACAGCCAAATCTGAATTGATACCCATGGTTCCTAAAACCACAAAGTACTGAGACATCTTTACTTTCACAGAGATCTCAGCTATTCCCCAGCCTGGAGATTCTTTACTTTCACTACCTAAAGAGTTTTAATGACAACTTTCTCTTCACCCAGATTTTGCTGCAAGCCTACATTCATTGCTGGCTTCTCCTGCAGCCACTGAAGATACAAGCACCAGGCTGTGAGGGGGTTCTGCAAAAGCATTTGACTTTGAACACCTCTGCTCTGGGTCACAGTCTGGGTGAAAAGCGAGGGCATTCAGCAAAATACAGCAGGGGCCCTAAAGTGTTCTGAGAGGGACAAAGCAGACTTTGTTATCTTGTCAATTAGAAATGTCAGATAAGTAAGCAAATAGGAGATGCTGTCACCACTGTGGTAACCCAGCACAGCTCATCTTTGCAAAATCTTCCCATGAATTACTTGATTTAGAGATGACCTTGCCCATGCTGAGGTCAAAGGGGGTGAAATATCTGTTACACCAAAATAAGAATGCCACTTTTGAGAGGTATACAGATGAAAAGTCCTCTAAAATGTATGTACTCACTGAACAGAACAGCTTTCAGAGAAGAAAACAGTTGTAATTCACAGAGGATCAGTACAACCAGAAGCAGCCAGGAATCCAGAACACTCCCCAGGCTTCCTCTTCTTCAACAGACACAGGAGGAAACTCAACTTTTTACTCCAGGGGATGAAGTTCAAAACTGAGGAATTCTTCCAAAATCACTTTAATAGATGATTAATCCTTAAGCAACTCAGTAATTTACTGAGACTATTTCCTGAGAAGTCCAAATAGTGTCAGGTGCAAAGGACTAAGGTCTCTGTGGGCTTAATATCAGGAGTAACAGCTGAAGTACTTCCAAAAATTTGGCTTTCACTTGATGCAAGTGGATTGTCAGGTGACTCTGTACACCCATTTCATTGCTTACGAAACCAGAGCCCAGATGTATAAATATCAGAAGACGTGCAGGGTTTATTCTATTTTAAACAAGAATTTGACATGAGAAACCATCCTTTGAAGCTAAAAATTAAACATAGCAATAGACCAAACGTACTTTCCAAGTGGGATTTGTAGAGAAGTTACTTAATCTACCACTAAAACTTCAGAAAGGAGCATAGCAACTGTCTGACAGCTCACTACACTACCAGCAAGACCAGTATCCCTGCAGGACTGTGGCCTTCAGCTGGAAGTGCTGCTGGA